TAATTTCAGTAACTACTTCACCTGCGATCGTCAGAGACGGAAACCAGTTTGGATCCATCAAAGGACCACGCTATGCGGAAAATGGAACCTTCATGTCCAGAAAGTTTGCACATATGACTAGCTTCATACTTGCAACCATGAGGCTGAACACAGTTTGGAAATAAATTGCTCTGATCAATGTGGTCTTCTACTTGACTTGCTAAAGATGATGCATCATACTGAGGAACCACTTTCCAAACAATAATCTGTGCAAATCCAATTCTTTAGAGGTTATCTAAACCAGAAACACAGATACACACACGCACACTGAGCAATCATTTGGTTGGATGGGTGGGGAAAATCATCAAAAGAAAAGATTAGCCACCTCGTTATAGATAGTACCAGATGCAATACGGAGAGTTTGAAGATTGTCACCCCATAACCGCATTGAATACAGAAGGGTTTTCTCTACAGTTGAATATAAGAATTCAGTTCTTGAACTTCAAATAAAAGTTTTTTTTAAAAAGCTCAGAAAAGTGAGTCAATTCAGCTAGAACTAACCAGGATGGTGAACTTCAAGAACCACAGTTGAAGTTGTGACATCCCAAAGATGGACAGAGTTATCACTACACCCTATAGCAAGACAATCACCCTCCTCATTCGAACCACTCACAGACCCCTGCTACCAATTCAACAGACCAAAGAAAAAAGAAGAAGAAAACTCACTAATATTCTCAAACTGATAAAAAAAAGAAGTTGTTGAACTTGAGGAAGCATTCGTACCTTCAAGAATGAAACATCCAATACCCAATTAGCAAACTTTGGCAAGGACTGTAAGAGCGTCAAACTGACACTCACCAGCTGCCCCATTGCAACCTGCAAACTAAACATCTTCACTCTCCTTTCGCCAAATACAACAATGTTGAAAGCAACAACAGAAGGCAATGTTCCTTCTGTGCAATCAGTAGAGCTACAACAAACTATCCCATGCACTCGAATGCCTTGGAACACGTCGAACGACCTTACCATTCTTCCCACTTCCAAATCATACACCATGATTTGAGAACCCGACCCTGTTTTGTTCAATAAAATCCATGTTAAAACGAATTTGAAGCTGAAGATTTTCAGAGAGAGAGTGATACTATGAAAGTCGTACCGGCGATGAGATAAGGGAAAGAAGAGAAGCTCGAAGGTAGGTGAAGAAAACATAGAGCTGATATTTCTCCGAGGTATTGACCGCTTTGCAGTTGCCAAGAACCTGTCTTCTTCTCCACTGCCATGGTTTGGCTTTGCTTCGTTGCTTGGAGTGCTCTGCTTGTGGAATGGCTGAACTTGAAACCTTTTCTTTGTTGTCCGAGTTACTGACTGAGCCGTTTGAAGGGTTTAAGCGTAATGGGCTGGGCTGGGCTTGGCCCAAACAATTTATGTAAGTGGGAAAAGATAAACCCAAGAAATAGAATCCTTGTACTTTAGCATGTTTCTTTCTTGAAAGGTCATCATCCGTTCTCCGGTTCCATTGCGTTTGCGGCACTGTTTTCTTCTTCCTCTGCAATCTCTCAGGCGCAGACGTAACGGCACAAACCAGAGACACACGGATGGGTAGAACAAAATCATTTAAGGATGAGTTTACATTCGGTTTGTTGTTGTTCCGAACACTTGAAGTCTTCTTGTGCAACAAAATCTCATCTTTTGTTGTTGTTCTTTTTGTTTATAGAATCTGATGTTATAACTTGTATCTCCTTGTTTGAAATTATTTCAGAACAAAGGGTTGAAGAATCACAGGACATCCTGGCCAAATACCCTGATCGAGTACCAGTAAGACCCACCAACAAGTTTTTTTTGTTTTTGTTTTTGTTTTTCTGTTTCTCATTTTTGGCTTCAACTCTGTTTACAGACATACAAGTTACAACTGGAGATTATGTATATTTGAGATTGAAGGGAAAAGAGATGTTATGGGATCATTCATATTCATTACTAACTGTCAGATTTCTCTGGGTAATGGTATCACAGGTAATTGTGGAAAAGTATGCAAGGACCGACCTTCCTCAGATGGAAAAGAAAAAGTAATATTTCAAAGCTGCCACCTTTATACTTTCTATCAGTTAACACTAGACCAAACCCTGTCTACAATTGTGATTTGTGTCTAAGATTGGAATGGGTGTGGCTGCTGATTTGCTATAACTTATAAATGATTGCCTTAGTGTGAGTAATTTATCAAAGGGTGTTGCATTACCTTGTCAAATCTCAAATGCCAACATTGTCTAACCAAATTTCTAAACCTTGGAGCATTGGGTTCCTCCTGCGATATGCTTGGAGGAGTAGAATGTTTTTTTTATAATAGGCATGTACACTTGAATTACACTAATAATAATAAGCTTATAAGTTTTAACATCCTTGTGATCATCTCTTTGATGGTAGATACCTTGTTCCCCGAGACATGTCTGTCGGGCAATTCATTTACGTTCTGAGCAGCAGACTTCACCTGGCCCATGGAAAAGCTCTCTTTGTGTTTGTGAAGGATACTTTGCCTCAAACAGGTAAATGGAAAATTGATTCTTTGTTTGTAGCATCAGTCAGCGCATGGCCTGTTTTGATTTTCTTGCCAGAATGATATTGTAACTTACAAGTATTTTTTCTTATGAATGATGAATGTCACATTGCAGCCAGTTTGATGGACTCTGTCTATGAATCCTTCAAGGACAAGGATGGATTTCTCTACATGTGTTATAGCACTGAGAAAACCTTTGGGGGCCATGCCAATGTTCAGAGATATGCACAATGATTTCTATTTCATGGTTGTAAATTCCTGCGAACTGGCTGGCTCTACCTTCCCACCGTGGCCTTACATCTCTGTTTGGAATGGATCATAACTTATTCTTCAAATGTTCAAAGTTTAGTTGTTAGTACAAGGAATCTTTGGATCTACCATATGATTATGATATGAACCACCTTTGGCTACCATTTTTTCTCTTATTGTTCGTTTATGTTTGGAT